GGAGGCCCTGCCTGGGGGGAGTGCGGGGTCTGGGGGGGTGTCTGGGGGTACCTGCTGCAGGGTGCTCTGGGATTTGGGGGGGATCCCCTGAAGGAGCACTGGGATGCTGTGGGGGGAGGCCCTTCCCTGAGGGGGCACTGAGGGGTCCCTGAGGGGTCCCTGTCATGAGGGGACCTTGGGGTGCTGTTCAGGGGGGTCCTGCTGCGGGCAGGCACGGGGGTGCTGGGGGTGTCCCTGCCCCGGGGGGGCTGCGGGCAGCTCCCAGCTGTGCAGGCCCCGGGGCCCGGAGTGGGGTCCCTGCAGCGCAGAGAGCAGCAGGCGAGGCTGTGGTGCCAGCAGCACACCCCAGTGCTGCTGCTGCTTTCAGATGATGTCAGGCACCAGCACCGGCAAGGCTGCTGGGCTCTGGGCCGCTGCCAACAGCCTTTGCCTTGGATTACCGAGAAGCCCCCCTGTTCCTGGGGAGCAGGTTGGCTTTGCCGGGGAAGGGGAGCAGGGTGCGAGCATCCTGCTGGGGCAGAGAGGGCAGCTTGGGGCAGGGCACCGCGGGCCTGTCCCTGGGTTCCCTTCTCATCCATCGTATCCTACTGCTGCTTCGTTACTAGCACGTCACCAGCCTCTCAGTGGTGCTGGCACTGAACGCAGTCAATGCCCATCACATGTGTGGAATGTTATCATCGAGTGAGCTGGTTGCTTAGGTTAGGGTTAAATAAACCAGCAGCGAAATCCCTTGTGTCTGATTCAACCTGTAGCTGCTTCAATACTCTGCCGAAGCTCCAGAGTGCACTTCAGCGTAGACCAGGCTGCATGCGGACAGGACTTAATTACTGTTAAGTGATGTAACGGCTTGCTGTAAGGGCTGGATACGTCACTCTGTGAGAGGCTGGGGCCAAGCACAAGGTAATAACCAGGTTGGGAACAGATGCTTCTCACTTCATGGGCCCTCAATCACATTACATCCTCTCTTTCAACATGGGACTCGTTTTGTGGCAAGCGCTGTGATGCTCAGACATAAACTCACCTGGGAGAAAGTGCGTGTGAATGTCAAGGATGTGCTACGATCACAGCTCTGTTGTGCATGTGAAACTACGTTGTTATGTTTTTGGAGCCAAAGCCTCCAGTGGGCTGTGGCGCTTGCTGCTGGCTGGTCTGTTATCAGTTCATCTCTCTTGGATAACAGACCTGTTATGGGAATTGCTGAGGAGATGCCAGAAGCAGGCAGCAGTTTGGTAAATAAATATGCCCGCTGTGGTGGTTGCGTCTAAGGAGTTACACCCACCAGCTGCCTGGAGCAGTAGTATTTCTTGCAGCTTTCCTGATCTTCTTTGAGTAGCTGCTGCACGTCTCTGCAGTTCCCATCTGGGTTCCAGAGCTGATGCTGTGCTTCCCTCCAAAGGGACCCCCATCAAAATCAGCGCTGCTTGGTGAAATGCCGCATCTGGTGGGAGGAATCAGGAAGCCGTGCTCCAGGTGTGCCGGGATGCCATTCAGTCGTAAAAGCTTGGTTTCACCTCTATTCAGCTCTGAAGTTTACAAAACATGGCTTGCAGGATGAGCCAGCCGGAATTTGTGGCATCTGCTTGCAGTTCCAAGCATTACGCTTCCCGTAGCCGGGAGCAGTGAGCCAAGGACGCTCCTCGATGTACGGCCATGTTCAGGGAAGGGAGCGTAAATCACGCCAGGCTCTGTGAGTCAATTGAGTTCGGTGCTGCCACCAGACCTGGCTTTCCTCTATCACTGCCCAACGTGGTCTGCAAATGCTTGCTGTCTCCCGAGAGCATGGTCCCTGAGCTCCAGGGGCAGCCTGAGAAGTTGTGGGAGCTCTGCAGAGCCCCACAGCTCCTCTGTGCTTACATGCAGAGTGAATGCCAGGGCACTAGTGGGAGGCGTGTGACTACAAGCAGTTGTAGTTCCAGGAACCTGAGCCATGTCTCTCTGGGGAAAAGCAGAGAGGACCTTGGGGGCCAGCATTTATTTGCGTGATGTTAGATTGGATTTGGGGAGAGAGGGGGAAAGGAAGAATGAACCAACAGCAAATAATACTAAAAGCAGGCTTTTGGCTTGCGGTCTCAAATTGTCATACAATTGTTATTTCAAAGACTTCACTTTGCAGGAAGGCACCTCCAAATCATGAAGCTGACTGGGAAGTTTTCTTTATTGTAAATTTAGCCTGTGCTTCTTGAAGGAGTTTTGGTCACATGCCTCCCCTGACATATGTTTTTTTTCTGAGGAGTGGCGTTCTTTCTTTTCACTTTCTTGTGAGACACTTGAGTTCCTCCAGTGCTCAAGGAGCAGCCGCCTGTGCCTTGGGAACGTCTGTGTGCGCAGGAGCTTCGTACCCTTATTTGGGAAGCTGTTTCCTGGGCACGGGTCAGCTCTGCCAGCACTCACCTCCTTCCCCTGTTGAGCAACACCGATCTCCTTCTAAGAAACTGCACTTGGTTAGCCAATCTGTCCGTGAAATGTAGAGCCCAGGCTTTGTAAGAATGCTCCACAAAGAGCTACGGAGATGATGGTGGTCTCTCTGGAATGTGGGTCTAACTTGGCTGGAGGGTAGTGGTGGTGGGAACCTCCCGGTGAGGTTTGGTGCAAGCTCTGAGGAGGCTTTGGCAGGCGCCTGGCTCGTCACTTGAGTCCTCTCCAAGTGCAGCTGGAGCCAGTCGAGTTTTCAGGGAGATACACAAAGTACCTGTTCATCCTGATGTCCGAATGTTCCCACCAGCTAAATAGGTTGTCTCAGATGCATAATGCTGGTTTTGGGTTACAGTCTGGTTGAACTCAAGCTTTCGTGGCTAAGGATCCATCCGCTAATTTTGAAATACAATGCTATAATATTTCTGCAGAGTCTCATAATAAGGACTTGTAATTTATAATAGCCCTGCTCATCCTGCAGTTCCCCATAAGTACATGGTGTTGCCTGAATCTCTATAGTTGGGGCATTTTCCTTCAGGCTGATGAGGGCTGCAGCGTGGCACCACACAGCAATGGTCCAGCAGCTTCAAGGTGAGCACCTGGAGATACATGACAGGGAAGGTTGGCACAGCCCACCGTGTTTCTGGGTCAGAACGAACTGCTGTTTCAGCAAAAGTTCAGGATGTGAAAGCAGGAAAAAAAGTCAGGGGAGTTGCACCCTGGTCAAACTAGCTTTATCTCCAAGGAGAATGCTGAAACAAAGACGTTGCTCGAAAACAACCAACGCCTATTTGCTGAGTATGAGCCATGCTCAGCTAATCTGACTTCCCTCTCGGGTGGGTTAGCACTCCAGGGGATGAGGAAAAGCAGCGAATACTGTACACCTTGCCTTTACTAAGGCTTGTTACACTCTTATGATTTCTCAGAGGTCAGCGGGACAGAGAAATACTGTCCAGCTCAGTTTCTCAAACTTTAGTACAGCACCCTTTGGGGCTCCTTGATCTCTTTCAAAGTAAAAGAAGAGCTAGCAGTTAATTCCATTTCCTTCTGCACCCCAGCTGTCAGGGGTAGTTAACCCTTCCAAAGCTGCTCTCACATCCTGTACTGCATCCTTCTTATTCCTGCAAGAGGAACTGGTCGTGATTTTGAGCCAATGTGACTGTGCTTTTTTTATGGTACTTCTCTAAGTTTTGAAAGCCTGAAATAAAGGCTTCTTGAGGCTCTGCAAGCCCTTCCTGCAAGATGCCTACAGTCCACAATGCAAGGAGAAACTGGTTTCTCAGATACTTTAAAATTAATATGAAACTGCCTGGAAAACCATTGCCAGGGAACTTGACAGTGGCTCACTGTTCAGCTGAAAGGATTTATCAAGTAAGTTCCTTGTTTTGGCTTGGATAATGGAATCGAGAATGTACTTATTGAATTTGCAGACAGTACTGAGCTGGGAATGGATTCGAGAGCTTTGAAGAGCTGGATTAGAATCAAAATGAACTCAACAGATTGACCGAATGGTCTGAAAGAAATACGATGCAGTTCAGTAAGGAGAAATGCAGAGAACTACGCTTAGGTGAGAACAGTTGATGGCATGAAAATGGAATGGGAGGAGAAGGT